ATGGCCATCATCGCCGCGCCGCTGTGGGAGCAACTCCGAGCGGCCGCCGCCGACATGCCGGCAGCCCAGTGGGGCAAGCAGGTGCCGTGGGATGACGCAGTTCGAGGTACACATGTATTAAACAAATATTCGAAAGTTCTTTTTTTTTGGGGGGGGCCAATATCATTTCATTTCTAGTTGTTCTATCCTGGGCCTCTTCCTGGCCACTAGGTGGCCAGGAACAATGCGAAACGAGCACAATTAGAAATGAGCACGATTAGAAATGAACGACGTGTAGCTCTGCAGCACAGGCAGCCTGTATACGCCGTCTCCTTGATGAGTGTGCGACGGCACGGATCATTGTCCACGCATCAGGCCTCATGGATGTGTCCGCTCTCAACGGTTGCCTCAAGGATCTTTGCAACGCGACCCTCAGACATGGAATGCCAATGTGCCGTGCCTGCTCCAGCAAAGCAACGGGCCTTTGTGCAACCCCGGAGGAGCAGGTGCGCAAACGATCAAAAGCAGGCATCGCCGCCCTAGATTCCCCCATTCCTGCCCCTCTTCTCCCCCCTTCCTGGTTATCCTCCTCCTCCTCCTGCGTTTCTGCGTTGCAGTGCTTTTGTTTGTATGCATGCAGTGCTTTTGTTTGTTGGGGTTCAGAGTAGTGCAGTGCTTTTGTTTGTGTGTGTGTGTCGTAGCTAGTTCCATAGTTGTCGACAGGAGCTCCCATAGCGTTCATGCTCATGCTCGTGCCGCGTTTCTGCGTTTCGCGCTCCACGAGCGCACATCCGCCCGCCGCAGCGCCCGACCGCCGCGGGCGCGGCGGGGCGCAGCCGGGGGCGCGCGGACGAGCGAGCGACGAGCGAGGAAGGGCGGCGGCGGCCCGAGCCGGCAGCGAGGGCAGCAGCAGGCGGGCGGCAGTTCCTCCTCCTCCTCCTTTTCCTCCTCCTCCTCCTCCTCCTCCTCTTCCTCCTCCTCCTCCTCCTCCTCCTCCTCGGCCTCCGCCCCCCCCCCCCCGTCGAGGCGATCCGTCTGCTCGTCTACGGACGGGGCAGCTACGCCCGCAAGGACTGCCTCAGGGTCTACCTCACGGAGGGGACATGGCGCGCTTCCGCGGTCGTGCTCTTCAAGAGGGAGGGCGAGGCGGAGGAGGAGGAGGAGGAACAAGAGAAGGAAGAGGAGGAGAGGAGGAGGAGGAGGAGGCGGAGGAGGAGGAGGAGGACGAAGTCGAAGAGGAAGAGGCTGACGAGGACGATAGTGGTGCCGATGATGGAGATGAAGCGGAGGAGGGGGACGAGGACCAGAGTATATCCAAGATGGCCTCGTCGATGCTGCAATACACCCTCTCGTCCCATGTCTCCTCCTCACAAGTTCCTACCAGGCTTGCGCCCCCCTAGAAGATCAGCGCCCCATGGATCGGCCATGCTGGCGAGGGCTACGTTTTAAAACCACGTATTTTGCATGTGTCTAGCGAGCACTGTGGATTGCGGGAAGGTATGATCGTATAGTTCAAGCAAGCGTCCAACGACCTCTCGGTTTAGGAACCGCCCCCATCTGTGCAGCTGTTGCACGCATATTCGCAAATGTGGCCATGCACTTCGATGACGTCTCAAGCGGGAGCCCCACTCTGAGAAGGAGCCGCTCTCCATCCGTGCAGCTGTTGCAGCTGTTCTTGCGCGTCAGGCTTTGAAGTGCGATGACTCTGGCGAGAGCCCCATGCTGAACAAAGAGCCGTCCTCCACCCGTGCAGCTGCTGCAGCCGTTTACAAACGAGTGTGCGAGGTGCTAGAGCGATAGGCCCAGTTCCCAAAATACGATCCTCCGTATTCGAAGCTGCTGCGAGCTTTTTAGGCGAATGCACGCGCCGCTCAGGCGAGAACGTTACGTTCAAACAGAACCATCCCCCATTCTAGAGACTGCTGCCAACTTTTAACACGAATGTGCGCTGTGCTCAGGTGAGGGCTCTATTTGAACACGACCGATGTGTCCTTGAAGTTGTTGCGTTGTTGTAAGACAATTGTGAGCGGCGATACGGGGATAGCCCCATGTTCAGAGCCACCGCCAGTCCATCTTTGTTGGTGACCAACCCTCTTCATCACTGGAGCTGTTGCCAATTCTAGACGCTTCGCGAAACCCCACCAGCCCATCCAGAAACGATGCCCAGAGGAGTTGCCTCGATCAGGGAAGTGGGCAGCACGCAGAGGAAGGGTCCCCCAGTGGAGGCCTCTTGGAGCGTCTTGGGGGCCTCTTGGCGGTCGCGGAGGCCTCTGAGAGGAGCGTCTTGGGTGCCTCGGGGAGCTTCTTGGGGCCTCTTGGGGGTCTCTTGGGGGCCTCTTGGAGGCCTCTGGGGCGCCTCTTGGGGCCTCCTGAGGCCTCCTGGGCGCCTCTTGGGGCCCTCTTGAAGCGCTCTTGGGAGCCTTGGGAGCGCTCTTGTGGCCATCTTAGAGGACATCGATCAACAAGAGGGGAGCTTTAATTTGCGGTGCCCCCCCCTGAAAGGCCAAAATGGGGCTGGCTCAAACGTTAGTAAAACCAATGATTTTGGCTTCCTCGCCGAGGCCGTTTTGGACGCCCTGACACCTCGCGACCGGCCCCGTCCAGGTCCAGGGGAGGAGGTCCGGGGATGGGGTCAAGCTACCCACCCGCCCGCAAGCCGTCTAGCTCACTTCCACCCGCCCTCCCAACACAGAAGTAACACCCGAGCCTGAGCATGTTCAGCAGTCGTCTTTGGATGGGCAGCTACTGGGAACCAAAGCCAACCCCAGGTGCGCGACGCTTGGGCGAGGTGCGCCACGCGTGCCATGGGTGCCACGCGCCCTTTGGCCCGAGCGTGCCAGGCACGCCTAGTGCGCCAGATGCGCCACATGCTCCGAGTGCGCCAGGTGTGCCGCCCGCTCCAGCCGCGCCAGGTGCGCCACGTTCCCGGCACATGCAGAGTGCGTCAGGTTCGCCTGCGCGCGTAAAAGCACACATCTGGAAACATGTCGGCCCCGGCCATCGCTGTCGAAAACCAATGCCCATCATTGTATCTGCAGGCCACGCGCCACCATCCCGCCGTTCCTGTCAAAAACCACGTGACATTGATCGCGGAATGGCCGCGCATGATCCAGATTTAGCCTTGAGGTGCATGTTGTATTGTTTTTTGTTTCTTGTTGTGATGGTAGCCCTGCGCGCAGCAGGGAACATGCTGACACCCCCGCCGTCTCTTTCGAAAACAGTGCGAAGTGCTCGCGGGCCTCATGAACATGACTCAAGACTTTGCCCCAAAGTGTACTTTGCATTGTTTCTAACAGGGATGGTGGTGGGGGCCCCTTCGGTTTGGCCGCGCATGCTCCAAATGTGGAGGCAGAGTGCGGTTTGTATTGTTTATTCGACAGGGTTGGTGTGTGGGGCGGGCCCGCTTGGAGTCGGCATGGTTCCGGGTTGGCCGCCAGCCGGGTGGGGGAGAGGGTGTATATCAATAGGGAACAGTGATAAACCCCTCCTCGAAGGGTAAGATGGGCAGATGGAAGACAAAACACCCTCGACCACTTACGCCCTAAAGGGCGGATGGGATTCCATGCTTCGGGATCGGAAATGGTGGGGACGTCCCAGGCGAAACGCCGAGCTCACCCTACCGATGCGCTTGGGGACGCCACAGGGAGGAGTTACCGATTTCAGGGAAAAGGATGGTGGAGGAGGAGGAGGAGGAGGAAAGGAAGGAGGAGGGGCGGGGAGGACGGGGAGGGGGGAGGAAGAGAAGGAGGAGGAGGAGGAGGAGGAGGAGGAGGAGGAGGAGGAGGAGGAGGATGAGAGGAGGACAGGGAATAACGCTGATCGTGCGAAGAATAATGATAGTAACATTCGAAAGAGATAGGGGGGGCGGGCAGGACGAGAAGTGGGAATGCAGGGGGGGGGGAGTGAGCGAATTAGTGAAGAAGAGGAGAATGCGGAGGGAGGGCCCAAGGCTGCGACCCATCGGGTCCGTTTTCCCGCCTGCAGGCGACGCTCCTCCGTCCCTTCTGCGAGCGCCACCGGCCTGTGGGCCCCTCGGGCCTGCGCGGCCGGGAGGGCCCCGCGGCCAGAGTGCTACAGTCATTGCCCTGGGGGAACACAAACGCGCACATCCCTCCAGGCAGAAACGACCTTAGGCTTATGTTGCTCCCCTCGTACTTCAGGACCACATCCCAAATAATGTCGAGCACCCGGAAAAGTGTCGAAAGAGTGTCGAAAGAGTGTCGAAACAGGGTCTCCCAAGGCCCGACATGTGAAAGCCATCGAGTTCCCGTACTTTTTCTGGTGCTCGAACTTCTTTCTGGCGATCAAGGCGAAAGTAGGTTGGAGCATCATAACCTTGGGCAGGAGGGGCCTACAGGCTGGGAGGGCCTGTGGGCCATGGCCGCGGGTGGGGCGCGCTCCAGCCTGCGGTCCGCCCTCCTCTCCCGCCCGGCGTCGGCACGCCTGCGCCGAGGTCGAGGCCGTCACCGCCGCCGGCCGCACTCTGGCAGCTGGCGTGTCCACGTCCTCCATGGCTCGGAGCGCCCGCAGCAACAGCCGGCTGGGTGCGAGTTCGTCGGCGGGGGGGAGGCGACAGATGGAGGCGCAGCGAGGGCTGCAGAACAGGGCCCTGTGTGGGGCCTCTAAAGGGGCCCTTTTGGGCCCCAGAGAGGGCCTTGAGGGCCCGAAGAGGGCACCTTTTCCTCCCCCTTTATCGCCTCCATTGATTCGCGCCCAAGCCGGCCCATGGGTGGGTTTCACGCGGCCAGTCTACGCGACCTTTCGGCCAGCCTCCGCGGCGTCGCAACAGTTGCTCAGGTGCTGGAGCACTCCCCACCCCAGTGCACGGTGGGACGCAGCGGGCAGACGCTCCCGGGCAGGCCACCACCTCCCCGCCAGGCCCACCAGGGTTTGCAGGGACACGCGCGCGACGCACCATGCGCGGTTAAAGCGCTGCATGGGCTGTCCCCATGGCGCCCACCTGATCCAAGCGCACAAGCAGGCGGGCCCGACCATCCAGCGCATCCAAGCGCCCAAGCAAGCAGGCGCACCGAAGGGAACTCTTGCGAAGGGTCGCTCTTACGCGTAAGCGATCTCTGCGCGAGCGATGCAGTACAGTCGGACCTGCGCCAGAAGAACATCCCTCAAGAACATGAGACCATTCGTCACCCCAAACCAGGAAAACATCCACGGGCTCCCTTCCCACGATGCACAAGAGCATCCAAGAAGCACGAAGAGCACAAGGGTACCCTCCCCGAACCGGCCTCGATCATATACCTCGGTCCGACTGTATCTTCCTCGCCCCTCCCTCTCAGTCTCCCTGTCAGCCGATGACGATGACGATTACGATGACGACGACGAGGAGGAGGAGCAGGAGGAGGAGGATGCTGATGCTGATTCTGCTGCTGATGCTGCTGCTGATGACTATGAGCATGGTGGTTTTGATGATGATGATGGTGAGGAGGCTTCTGATCATGATCATGATGCTGACGATGATGACGATGATGACGATGATGATGATGACGATGATGACGATGATGCTGCTGATACCTTTGAAACTGATTATGATGATGCTGATGATGACGATGATGATGATGATGATGATGATGATGATGATGATGCAGATGCTGATGCTGATGCTGATTATTATACTGGTAATGATGATGAATCTGGTGGTGATGATACTGATGATGGCGATGATGCTGATGACGACGTTGACGATGACGATGATTGTAATAACTACAGTGATTATGCTGCTGACGATGATGATGCTGCTGCTGCTGATGGTGATGATGATGATGATGGTGATGGTGGTGGTGATGGTGATGATGATGGTGGCGGTGTGGGTGACGATGGTAATAATGATGATGCTGTTGCTGATGATGATGATGATGAGGAGGAGGAGGAGGAGGCAGAGGAGGATGGAAGGATAGGGAGGAGGATACGAATGGTGGTTGTGCGGAGAAGGATGAGGAGGAGGAGGTGTTGGAGTTGGGATCAGAGGGGCCCTTCTCCCCCACTCCTGAAGGGGCACGAAGAGTCAAAGAGGTGCTCGGGATAGGGTGGGCGGCAGGACGTGACGGGCGGCGCCAAGTTCGACCCGAAGACGGACGGCGGAGAGGCCGCACGGGTTTCTCCGCATGGCGGGGGATGAGGATGAGGATGAGGATGCGGATGCGGATGCGGATGCGGTTTCGGATGCAGATGATGATGATTATGATGTTGATGATGATGGTGATGGCGTTGCTGATGCTGATGATCATGATTGTGATGGTGATGGTGCTTATGATGCTGATTATGGTGATGGTGATGGTCATGATGATGGTGATGGTGATGCTGATGATGATGCTGACGATGATGATGAGGATGATGATGATGGTGATGCTTATGATGATGATTGGGGTTCTAATGGTGGTGACGATGGTGGTGGTGATGGCGATGATGATGACGATGATGATGATGCTGGTGATGATGATGCAGAGGATGATGAAGATGAGGATGAAGATGAGGATGATGATGATGATCAAGACGATACGGATGATGATGATGATTCGGATGATGATGATGATGATGATGATGATGATGATGATGGTGATGGTGATGGTGATGGTGATGGTGCTGATTATGATGATGATGACGATGACGATCAAGCTGTTGATGTTGTTGATGAGGATGAGGATGCTGATTATGTGGGTGATGCTGATGATTATCATGATGCTGCTGATGATGATGAAGATGATGATGCTGCTGATTTTCCGTTTTCAGCGATTCCGTATGATGGTGTTGACGATGGGGATGACGATGATGATGTTGAGAATGTTGATGATGCTGATGATGCTGATGATGATGATGGTGATGGTGATGATGGTGATGTTGCTGACGCTGATGATGCTGATGATGATGAGGGTGCTGCTGCTGCAGATGATGATGGCATTGATGTTGATGATGCTGATGAGGATGATGTTATGCTGATGTTGTTGTTGTTGATGATGATGTTGTTGTTGATGGTGATGATGATCATTGAGATGATGATGATGATGATGATGATGATGATGATGATGATGATGATGATGATGATGATGCTGATGATGATGATGATGTTGATGATGGTGATAGTGATGGTGATGGTGATGGTGATGATGCTGCTGCTGATGATGATGATGATGATGGTGGTGGTGGTGGTGGAGGATGGGGCGACGGGAGGAGGAGGCGGAGGAGGGGGAGGAGACGGACGAGGATGACGAGGAGGAGGACGAGGAGGACGTGGGCGGAAGATGCTCTTAGGGAGGAGCAGAAGGAGAGAGCATCAGTGGAGAGATCTACGAACGCCCCCCCCCCTTCCCCCATGATTTCACTGGAGGCGCCCCTCTTCCCCCTGCGGTGCCTCAGCCGTCCCTTCCTCCACTTTTGCGCCCCAATTTCCCAGGCGCTGCTCCCCCCTCCCATCCCCTCCCCTCCCCTCGTGTTTCCCGTTTCCCCCTTCCTCCCCTCCTTTGTCCTCGCCCCGTGTCCTCTTCACCCCTGCGCAGTGGCCTTCTGCTTCCTCGGCTCATCTGCATCGGACCGTCTCCACTCTTGCCATGACTCCCGAGCCACGCTGGCACTCACCCCGACACGCGACGTTCTTGGACGGGGGTTGGCGGAACCTGCCAGGGTCTTTGCGCCGGTGCCCGTCTGTCGCCACCTCGCCGCCGCCGCGCGCTCGGGTTTTGAGCCTGCGGGGGCCTCTCGCTGGGCGCCTGCGCGCGCCGGCAGCGTCGCCGCCCTCTCTGCCCGGGCTGGGCGTGCCCTGGCTTCAGACAGTCCACCGACCGCGTTGCACTACTCGCAAAGTGCCTACTCGCAAACGTCCGAAAAACACAGGTCTGCTTCGATGTAATGCCTCGTAGATCCCCCCCCCGGCGGATCCAGGCCATTTGCGAGTAGTCACTTCGCGAGCAGTGAAACGCGCTCGTCTAGCGGTACCCGCGCGTCGCCTTCATCGCCACCGAGGTGGCTGGGTTTGCCGGGTTTTCCCCACTGCTCGCGCTTCGCCGCCTTGCCTCTGTCGTCGCCGCGTGCGCCGGCTGGGTTTTTGCAGGGTTTTTTCGGCAGGCTGGGGCGCTCGTCGCTGCCGCGCCGCCTCCTTGGGGGCCAGCGGGGTGCTTGGCTGACTCCCTGGGCAGCCAGCGACTGACCGCCACTCATCATTGCTGCTACCCCAGACATCCTGCGTCTCGAGAAAATCGAGAAGGTTTTTACCTAACAGCGTTTGCTGATAGGTTTCTAGTAGGGTCAAAAAAAAGAGAGCATCATGACTCCTCAGGGGGGTCTGGGCGGGTGCCAGGGAGGAGAACCGGGAACAGAACCGGGAACAGAGCCGGGCTCGCTTTTCGCCAACAGTCACACACTTCGTGCTCTTCGACCTCCCAGAACTCCATTCCCGGGCCACATTCTGGATGCCCGGAGCCAACTGTAGGCCACTTCGTGCTCTTCGACTTCCCAGAACCCCATTCCGGGGCCACATTTTGGATACCCGGAGCCAACTGTACGCCACTTCGTGCTCTTGGATTTCCCAGAACACCATTCCTGGGCCACATTTTGAATGCCCGGAGCCAACTGTAGCCCACTTCGTGCTCTTCCACTTCCCAGAACTCCACTCCCGGGCCACTGTTGCTGCTGCTAGTGTAGCTATTGATATTGCAACTACTGGCAGTGCCACTGCGACTGCCGCTGATGTTGCCACTGCGACTGCCACTGCGAATCCGAATGCCAGGCTGAGGCTGAGGCAGGCTGAGGCTGAGGCCGAGGCCGACGGCAGACTGAGGCTGAAGCTGAAGCAGGCTGAGGCAGAGGCAGGCTGAGGCTGAGGCTGATGCTGAGGCAGGCTGAGGCTGAGGCTGAGGCTGATGCAGGCTGAGGCTGAGGCAGGCTGAGCCTGAGGCCAGGCTGAAGGCAGACTGATGCTGAGGCTGAAGCAGGCTGAGGCTGAGGCTGAGGCAGGCTGAGGCTGAGGCAGGCTGAGGCTGAGGCTGAGGCTGAGGCAGGCTGAGGCTGAGGCTGAGGCCGAGGCTGAAGGCAGACTGAGGCTGAGGCTGAAGCAGGCTGAGGCTGAGGCAGGCTGAGGCTGAGGCTGAGGCTGATGCAGGCTGAGGCTGAGGCAGGCTGAGGCTGAGGCTGAAGGCAGGAGGCTGAGGCTGAAGCAGGCTGAGGCTGAGGCTGAGGCTGAGGCTGAGGCAGGCTGAGGCTGAGGCTGAGGCTGAGGCTGAGGCTGAGGCGGCTGAGGCTGAGGCCGAGGCTGAAGGCAGACTGAGGCTGAGGCTGAAGCAGGCTGAGGCTGAGGCAGGCTGAGGCTGAGGCTGAGGCTGAGGCTGAGGCAGGCTGAGGCTGAGGCTGAGGCTGATGCAGGCTGAGGCTGAGGCAGGCTGAGAGGCTGAGGCCGAGGCTGAAGGCAGACTGAGGCTGCTGAGCAGGCTGAGGCTGAGGCAGGCTGAGGCTGAGGCTGAGGCTGAGGCTGAGGCAGGCTGAGGCTGAGGGCGCTGAGGCTGAGAGCCTGAGAGGGCTGAAGGCAGACTGAGCTGCTGTGGCTGAGGCTGAGGCAGGCTGAGGCTGAGGCCGTGAGGCTGCAGGCTGAGGCTGCTGACTGTCGATGCCGTTGCCACTGCGACTGTCATCGCGAATGCGACTACGACTGCGAGAACAGCAGAATTCTACAACTGGATTCCCATCCGAATCTTAAGGGGAATGCTTCCAGATATGCTCCTACACATCGCTGTTAGGTTGCTTTGCCGGGATAATTCAAAGCTTTCGGCCTCTCGGGGCCCTTAGCGGGCCTCGGGGATCGTCAAGCTACGACTCGGGATGGGAAATCAGTCCTGAGGAAGATGTGGCCGAGGGATCGGGGGTCCGTGCCCCGAAGAGGGTCGATACGCTGGATGTCTGGGATTGTTGGCCTTCATGCCGCTACTCCTACGAGTGCCCCTAAAACTGACATTATACTTTCCCATAGAACTGGCGACCGGGTCCCCAGACCCGGGGGGCGGCCCACGTTACTTGGCATCGTTCGGACGTGTGCCTTTTTTTTTCGGCGAGGGCCATCGAGGAGCAGTGCGGGTCGTCCGAGCGGTGGCGAGTTTACTTTTTTTCAGAACCCCTCCCCCTCGGGAGCCCGATTTCGCCCCGCGGGCTCCGGGGGGGGGGGGGACCTCTGGCCTGCTCTTGCTGCTGTCTTGGCCCACGAGGGAGGGCCCCTGAATAGGGCCCCTAACTAGGCCCACGAGGGGGGGCCCCTCACTGGGCCCCCCACTAGGGAGGGAGGCCCCCTCACTGGGCCCCCAACTAGGCCCACGAGGGAGGGCCCCTAACTATAGGGCCCCCAACTAGGCCCACGAGGGAGGGCCCCTCACTAGGCCCCCAACTAGGCCCCTACTTTTTTCAGACCCCCCCCCCCCTCGGGAGCCCGACGTCGCCCCGCGGAGGAGGAGGAGGAGGAGGAGGAGGAGGAGGAGGAGGAGGAGGAGGAGGAGGAGGAGGAGAGAGGAGGAGCGGGCTTCGGGGGGGGGGGCGGGGGGGCTCTGGCCTGCTCTTGCGGCCTGCCCTGGCCCACGAGGGAGGGCCCCTGAAGAGTATAGGCGGCGGCCAGAGGCTCCCGCGGTGGCCTCGGGGGCTCGGCGGCCCCCTTCTACTCGGGGGTGCATCGGGGGTGGACAGACCGCCTACCCCGACACGTCGATCAAGGAATCGGCCGCTCTCGGTTCGCGAGAGGGCGTCGCGGCCGCCATGTTTGCGGGTCCAGGTCCGCCGGTTCCGGTCCCAGGCCGCTTTCACTGAGGGGAGGCTTGCTAAAGGGAGGCTTGTCCACCGCCGAAGAAAGGCTTAAGACAAGAATGAGCAGCATGAAAACAACATCACAACCTCAAAACCCCCAAATCGCATCTAGACATCGAAGCTTTAAAGACGCGAGAATCAGCACAAGTGAGCGAACAAGCGCCCCTACTCATCGGTCTTGCGGAGGCCTTCGAGGAGGCGCCCTCTCGCTTCTTGCCTGCCCTCCCGTGCCCTCCGCTGCCCGACCGGTGCGCGCCCCCTGCCCCGGCCACCGCCGGGCTCCGCCCGGCGTGCCCCTCCCGCGGCTCCTTCCTCGCC